TTTTTTTTTTTAACTTATGAAGACAATGTAGTCCAGAAAGGTTAAGTGACTGTCTTATCCCGACTGGCTGGATTTGAATTCCAGGTTTGCCATTTACCACTTGTATCTCTTTGGAAAAATTACTGTTTTCTCATTTATAAAGTGGGGGTAATAATAATGGTCCTAACCTTATAGGGTTATTACAGGGATTAAATAAATTAATACATGTAAAGTACTTGGGAACACTGTCCTGGCATATGGTAAGCACTATATCAGTGCTGGCTATTACTAATACTTTTATTAGGAATAACAGTACTGGATATGGGACTAGAAACCAAATCATTAGGAATTTCCTCAGTTTAATCCCCCAAGTTTTGTGCTTCCAAATCAGGGCTTCTTCTATCTGTGCTGTATTTGTGCTGTCCAATACAGTAGACATTAGCCACATGTGGCTATTTACATTAGAGAAAATAATAGCAAGCTAAAATTCACTTCCTCAGTCACACTAGCCACATTTGAAGGGCTCAGTAGCCAGATGTGGCTCACCAGCCATGATTCCATACACAGCACAAATACAGAACATTCCTGTCATTGCAGAAAGTTCCATTGGACAATGTTGCTCCTAATAATAGACACTGGGGACATTTATGAGTCCCAAAGAAACCGCTTTTTTTTTTTTTTTTTGGTAGAGACCAGGGAGCTAACTTTGTTCCCATATAAGGAAACACTCAAACTTATTTTTCTTAAAAGCCAATTGGGATCAAACTTAATAACACTCAAAGTACATGTGTGACCATCCATGGTGAATTAGATGGACAAATTACCAGGATTGAGGGCCTGAGTTTCTGGAACTAGCCCTTTAAAACTACTTAGAGTTTTTCTTAGTAGAACATTGGGTCTCATGGAAAGAAAGTTGAATATTTATAAACATACCTACCAGAAACTAGACAATTTGATGGCAAAAACTTAACTCACATTTCTTAAACACATAAGCTAAATGCTAAAGACTTTACAAGTATTATATCATTTGATCTGCACAAGAAATACATGAAGTAGGGGCCATTACTATATCGCTGTTTTACAGTGGAAGGTCTGAGGCTAAGACAGAGTTGCTGAAGGTCTCACGACTAATAAGTGGAAGTGCTGGAACTTGAAGCAAAGTGTGTCTAACTCCAAAAGTCAGGCTCTTAGTCATGACTACCACAACTACCATACCCTCTGCATGGCTGATTGGGCAAAGTATAGACTCAGTGCCATTAGTTTCAACCTCACTATAAACAATGACCATGTTACATGCCTTACCCCTAATAGCTGTCTCCTAACGGAATAGAGAATCAGGAGAGTATATGGAAATATTTTGGTAGATGCCATCCCTCAATGTGAAAAATGTAATTCTACCTATACATGGTTTAAGAGGACAACTTCAAACAAAAGAATAACATTGCATACCTGGGGAAAAATAGTCTCTTCTTCTCCAAGTAATCATTCAGTCCCCTCTGGATGTCATCCAACAGAAGGTTAGCTTCTTGAAGCTTCTCATTCATCCGGGGCTGGTCAGCAGCCATCAGAACCCTGGCATCTTTCACCTAAGTTCAATCAAAGCAGGTAGAAGTCACCATGGGTTTCACCTCTGACATTAACATTATCATCCCAGGTTCTGACATTGGTCATTGTAATGTGTCTGTGACCAGCCCATCAACTAATGACCCTCCTTGCTCAGCCAACTGTCTCCTCAATCCCATAGGGATGAATTATTGGCATTCATACAACATAAGCCTTTATCTCTGGCCATGGGCTAGGGTCAGGCACCTGAAACAAACTGAGCCAATTATATATTAACTCTGTTGTTGTTGTTGTTATTTGCCATCGAGTCGGCCCTGACTCATAGCGACCCCTCCTTGGGTTTCCGAGGCAGTATCACTACGGAAGTAGGAATGCCCAACCTTCCTTCCGAGGAGTGGCTGGTGGGTTTGAACCGCCAGCCTTCTGGTTAGCAGTCAAGTGCCTTAGGCACTATGCTACCAGAGCTCCTATATATTAACTCTGGGAGTTTGGTATTCAGACCATAACTATACTAGTCCAGACCAACCCCCGGAATGAAAGGACTTTGGAGTTGAGTGAGGGTCATTTTTCACCATGTGACCAAGTGACAGAGCAAATATTAAAGCAGAGAGAGACAGATGCAGGCATGGGAAAAGGAGCTAGGATTAGACACAGAGAAAGAGCACCTGTGAGTTCCTGAGAGGTTTCTGTTCTAGAGCCATCATTTGTGAGGCCTGGCTGCACTTTCTGCTCCTGGGTTCCATTCACTCAGTTTTTTGTGGAGCTACCTTGAGAGGGTATCTGTCACTTGCAACCAAAGTACCTTAACTAATACAGAGTTGGTGGAAGCAGGGCATTATAAGAATTGCTTCCAGCAAATGGGCAGATAGCAATTCCTACTTAGTTCCCTCCTGCAAACAACTAGGACAGATACATTTCCTTGAGACTAATTCTTTATAAGCATGCCCCAATTTGAGCAGACTTAACTTAAAAAAGAAAACAAACAAACAAAAAAGATATGAACTTCTCAACAGCTACCACTTTAAGTGTCCTGTACACATGGTAAACTTCTCATCCTTCAAGACTTGGTTCCAATGCCACCTCCTTAGGAGGGCTTCCTCAATACTCCCAGGTAACTAAATCACTCTTCTGTATTCTGAAAATTGTGTGTATTTCCATTACAGCTCTTACTTATCTAAGCCTGTCTTCTGCACAAGATAAGAATTCTATGAAAATAGAAATAATATTGTAGTCATCTTCAAATATTTTCTGACTCCTAGTACAAAAATTGGGTCACATCAAGTACTGAATAAGCGTTTGCTGAATGACTGAGTTGTGAATGTGGATACTTATTTGACTTCTAAAAAGATTCTCCAATTCGACGGCACATACAACAAGAACAACAACAACAAGATTCTCAATATATAAAAGCTTTATTGCATTATCCCATAACAAAGTCTTCTACTTAATTAGAAATGATAACTAAATAATATAAACTGTCATTAGTTACCTCTCAAAACAAACAAACAAACAAAAAAAAAACAAACTCACTCACATTGAGCTGATTCTGACTCACAGCAACCTACATTGGGTTTCCGAGGTGGTAAATCATTATGGAAGCAGATTGCCCCATCTTCCTTCCACAAAACAGCTGGTGGGTTTGAACCACCAACCTCTGCTTAGTAGTAAAATGCCTTAGGTACTGTGCCACCAGAGCTCCTTTAGCAAGGTATAATTTCTATATTACATAGTTGTTTGAATTTTTAAGAGCAATGATAACTTTTAAAATTAGGAGAAAAGATATAAAAATATCAAATTTGCAAAAATTCAGTTTACATTCAAGTTACAAGTTACAAAGCAATGTATGGCATTCACATTTCTGCTGGTGAGATTTGCTAGGGGGTAAAAACTTACCGCTTGGGACATGATTGACTTCCAGTAACTATCAACAATGGCAAATTTCCTGCCCTCTTCTGGCATCTGGGCTACGATGTCCTCTGAGCTGAAGATATGTTCCAGGTACAGCCAGGTGGCTTGGCATTTCAACCAGGCATCCAAAATTTCCTGCACACGAACTAGCTTTTCTTCCCACTTCTGTGAATGTAGTATTTCATTGATAAGTCCATAACCTGCCACTTTGCATGACAGGCTCATGGACTGAACAAATGGATGGATGGCTTCATTCACTCACTCACTCATTCATTCATTCAGCAAATACTTATTAAGTGCTCTCTATGCTCCGGTCACTCTTGTAGGCAGTGAATGAAACAGACCAGCGTTCTCCCAGAGCTCCTATTTTAGTGGAACAGTAATAATATTAATAGCTATAAACACTGTGTGCCAGGTACTGTTCTAAGTGCTTTATATATGTGGAATCAATTTAATCTTCATGACAGCCTCATGGGGTAGTTATTATTACTAACCCACGTCACAGATGCAGACAATGAGCATAACAGTTCAAGTACCTTGCCTAAGGTCACACAAGTAACGTGTGTCAGAGCCAGACTTGGAATCCAGCTAGTCTGGCTCCAAGCTTGTGCCCTTAGCTTATGCAACTTTTCACAAGCCATTAGCAAAAGTGACCTAAATCCCCACTATCATGTAATATACATCTGAGATTACTATAGCCCACAGGTTATTCACATAATTTCCAAATATATTTTTATTTGATGCATTCAAACATCTCATCTTCTCTTGTTGTTCATTCATTTAGCAAATACTAAATGAATTTAGCATGGCTAACCATGCCATGCACTTAATTGCACGGCCACTGCTTTCAGTCTTGTGTTAATTTTTTTTTTTTTTCCCAATTAGAAGATAGTGACTTTCCTTGTGAATCGAACTTGAAAACCTTCAACCTCCCCGGAGAAACCCAGGGCTAATGGGACATCACAAAACACTCAATCTCATTTCCTCTTACCCGGCATTCTGCTTCTATTGGTTTGATGAATGGCGAGCCACACATGGTCTGAGTCTTTATAATGTGATCATCAAGCATAAGTTGAATGTCATCAACTGCACACAAGATGCTTGTATCCTACAAATAAAGATGCCCCACCTTGTCAAAATCATGAGACCTCCAATCTTGGTACTAATATCAAAGGTCTCAGCTCAGATCTACACCCTAGTGGGACAGAATTAGAATTTCTATTTTCTTCCTTGAAAATGTTCTTAAACACATTTATTTTCTACTTCCTTTGCAGAAATCGAATACCATACATATTCAGACACCGTGAGGGTGGGAGTAGACATCTGTCCCATGGCTCTCCCTCAGGTATCATCAGCTGTAATTTGACTGGTTAGGCCTGGATCGGGAATTCCCACACTGTGCACCACGGTGCCCCAGCATACTGCAGCACACTCACAGTAAATAACTGTGGTTATTAAAATTAAAATAAAAATATGTTTTCTTTCAATTGAAGTGTATGTATTTTTTGTAGTCAGCTGCTAAGTTGATAAGACATAAATACTTATTGAACTTAATTACTTAATAAAGGAAGCTGTTAAGTATTTCTTTTGGCTTAAGGGCACCATGAAAAAAGTACTTACACACAAAAGTCTGTGAACCAACAAAGTTTGGGAACCTCTGGCTTGCACATTTACTGGGCCATATGACACAGTGATTAAGCACTTGACTACTGAAAGATCAGAGGTTCAAACCCACCAGCCACTCTTTGGGATATAAGACCTAATAATTTGCTCTCATAAAGATTACAACCTAGGAAACTCTATGGGACAGTGCTACTCTGTCCTGTATGGTTACTATGAGTTGGAATCCACTTGATGGCACACAACAACTGTGCTTTAAAGTCAGCCCTGTGGCTAGTACTTCCCCTCTTGGGTCCAAGAGGCAAGTAAACTACAAGGGCCTGTGCCCTGAGGCAGATCTGGTCTTTCTATTTTCAATCCCTTCAAGCCTACATCTAGGTGGGTAAATTGGGTCCAAGACATTTTCTCTCACCTACATTTTACCAGTAGCTTTGCACTGGGAGGCTTGTCCAGTTGTTAATAAAGTGGTACCTTGATCCCAATTTTGCTGTTGATCCTTGACTATAGCTACCATAATCAGAAACCTTGAGGATCAAGCAGGTGTAAGTGAACTCTTACTGGGTCCTCCAGCTTAACTCCTCATCTCAGCCCAACAGCCTCTAGCAGCTTTTAATCCAATCAGACTGTGGAGCACCAAGCTTAAGGTTGATGAAACAGGGGTTTTGGAACCATGGTGGCCAGATTTCTCTGGGACAGGCCCCAAAACTAGGCCAAATGCTCCCAGCTCTCATCCCTCCCATTAGGTCATGCACAGTTCTTATCCAAGTGAAATCAAGGCACCCTGACTATTGAAACGAGAGGGGAAGTAAGTCACAAAAGGATAAAATGCAGCCTTGGGGTGGGAGAAAGGTGTAGGAGTCTTTAAGATTTTGGTTTTCCACGCAAGCTGCACATTAGAAAAATGAGAGGCCTTAAAAATACAAATGTCCAGGCACTCTGGGGTGGAAAGATCAGGAAGAATCAACGGAAATACTTTAAAAAGCTTTCCAGTGATGCTACTGTGCAGCCAGGGCTGAGAAGCCACCTAGAAGTGTGGAACTGAACTCACCCCAGTGGCTCAACTCTCAGATAAGCAACAGACAGGCCTATAAGGTGAATAACAGAGGGTACGCACTCCTCAGGACAATCGGCCCAACAAGATCAAAGAGCAGCTTTTGCCCAGGGATAATAGTCAGAAGGTTGGAAGGGGTTGGAAAGAAGGACAAATGGAAACAGGAAAACAGGGAGGAAGTGGTAAGAGTGATGTTACATTATGGGGACTGTAGTCAATGTCAGGATACAAAATATGCATGGATTGCTGGATAGAAAACCAATGTGTTCTGTAAACTCACTCAAATCACAATAAAAGGTTTTTTTTGTTTTGTTTTTTAATACAAAAAAAAAAAAAGAACTGATGGTCTGCACTACGTGAATTGCAGCCTGTTCTTCAATGATGCATTGTTCTCTCAGAGCAGCAAACATCCCCATCCAAGATGTTGCTGTTCTGAACTAGCCACCTCTGTAACCTACTACATACAAAGCGGGGCTGCTTTCTGGGGGCCAGCCTGGTGGATTCAGACTCACAGAATCTCTGTATTTCACAAAACTGAACACCATGTTAATCCAGTCCAACTTCATTTTTTCCAAGTTTTTCTCCAAAGAATATTCTTTACTGGCGGCTGCACTAATGGGTTCCAGTCTAAAGAGAAAACATAGCACCATCAGCAACAGGAGGAGCAGAGAAAACACGCCAAAGGCTTTCCAAGAAATGAAAAAAGTCATTAGTTTAGTTTTATCACAATGTTTACTATCCCAATCTAAGATCCGCCAGCTTCCACCACTGTTTTGTAGGGTCTTTCAATCTCAGCATATTGACATTTGGGGCTGGATAGTTCTGTGTTGTGGGAGCTGCCCTGTTCACTCTCGATGTTTAGCAGCATCCCCGCCCTTGGCCTATTAATTGCCAGTAGCCGATCTCACCCCTCTTCACCCTAAGCCCCCTTAACTCCTTACCCCCTCTCGTGACCCTCTACTCTGTCAGGTTTAACAACCAAATGTCCCCTGGGGGTGGAAAATCACCCGTAGTTGAGAACTATGGCCTCAAGGCCACTAAAACAAGACAGTTGCTTCAGGTTGGTTTACTCCTTACTTGCTCACCTTCTGATACTTTAAGATGTTGAACATATGTTAATTTTCTCTACTTTTGGTGTAAATATGCATAGCTAAATCCACTCCCATACCTCCTGTTCCACAGTTTCTAGACATAATGATCAGTGATACTGGCAACATTCTTCACATTGTGTCAACATTCTCATTATTTCTGTTATAGTTGTTTCATTTCCTGCCCCCGAATCTTCTCACTTATACTTTAAAATCGTTGTTGACCCTTTGGTCTTACATAGCTAATTTTGTTTTTAAAGAAATGCAATACTCAAGAGTGACAATCTTTACTCTTTGGGCTAATTAAAGGTAATTTCAGGAACAACAATAACATCAGGCGATACTCTCAATTCAATGTTTGAGGAGCAGCTCAGGGACATAGGGACTCCTCTAGCCTCAGTAGGTCCAGTAAGTCTGGATTCCTTAAGAATTTGCAGTTATGTTTCACTTTTTTCTCCCTTCTTATCAGATTCAACTACTGTGTTCCTGATCAGAACTATCAGTAGTGGTAGCTGGGTACCACCTAGTTCTTGTCTCAAGGTGGAGGAGGCAGTGGTTCATATAGATAATTAGTTCTGTAATCCAGTTCCTCCTCTCATTTTTGGTTTCCTTCTTTCTCTTTTGTTCCAGATGAATAAAGACCAATAGATGCATTTTAGGTGGTTGTTTGTAAGCTTTTAAGATCCCAGACACACTACTTACCATACTGGGAGGTAGAACATAAACTTTAAGGGCTATATTATGCCAGTTAACTGGATTGTTCCATGAGACCATGGCCCTAAGCCCCCAAACCAAGAGAGCTAAGGTATTTTTCACAAACAGTACACCCATGTACCATGTAAATAACATGCACACACATATAATGGGTGGAACTGAAAAAATTGTGTGAAAAAGTTCTGCCATAATGTGCCCATGCATATACCACACATCTCGAGACATTTCTAAAAGATAATTTCAGCCTCATTCACTCCCATTCAATAGTCCAAAAATGTTACTTTTGATCATCTTTGTATAATATAAGTATAAGCAAGCCATGGTCAAGAAATCATGGATGAAGTTTGGTAGTATGCCAGTAATTGGTAAATAAACAATTGAAACTGTGCATTTTCCCTGGGGCAGTTCATGGTTGAGCCTGAGAGTGGTGGACCTCCTTACAGTTGATCTGTGCCCAGGTACATCCCACCAGAGATAGGCAGCAGGTCGAGTGAAGGGCTGCATGTGAGGCTGCCACAGATCAAGCATGGGTTGGTCACATGGCAGGTGGGGGCTGTTTCCTATACGTGCCTAGGTCGCATGGTGCCAACCCCACATAAAGCCAGGTCGCAGGACAGTGTGAGTGCAGGAGTGCCCTGCGCCAGCCATACAGGGCCCCCAGCCAGTCAATCAGACTTCTCTCATCTGAGAGAGGAATGCATAACCCCTCTGTGCTGTGGCTTTTATACCCAACCCATGGTGTCTGCAAAGGCTGGAGATCCAAATGGCCTGAGCACAATGGCTGGCCAGCAGAATGTGCACAGGTGTGGTGCTATGGCGTCACCCATCTGTGTGGCCTCTCTGGCCCAGGGGGTTGGAAGAAACTCTCAAACTTCCTGGGCTGGGGTCAGTCACTCCAGGGAGAGTTATTTCCAGAGTGGAAAAAGCAGGAATTTCTTCCTGCTTTGGACAAAGTGATTTGTAGAGCAGGGAAGGAATTCTGCCAGAGGAGAGGCTGTTTTAGAAACTCCAGGGTCTGCTGCTGGGAACCAAACCTCTACGTCAACAGGTACCAAGAAGAAGACATAACATTAAATCCACTGGACAGAAAATAAATTGAAATTGAAGCCACCAACACGTAAAAAATATTGGTATAGCACACTTATGCAAATAATGTATGGAGAGTTCCATGTTACACAAAAATGTGTATGCGTGTTATTTGCGAAAAACTATGGTAATCCCATGAGGGGACTGGTTATGTCTAATTAGTATCAGTATCTATAGCCTCCTCTTCTTCTTTTTTTTTTGGTTGTTGTTCTTGTTGCAAAACTATATACCTAGCATTTGTCCATTCATCCCTTTTTCCTATGGACAGCTTATAGATGTCAGTTACTTAGGTCATGCCGTGCAAACTTCACCCATGTTTGGTGCCTCCTTTCCTCTTTCTCTAAACATAGAGTGACTAATACCTAGGGAGCATTTCTCTCTCTTCCCTCTCCCTCACCACCACTGGTAAACACTAATGAAAATGAGTTTCTATAAATTTACCTATTCATATCATTTTATAAAAGTTAGAAATATAGTATTTGTGTGTGTGTGTGTGTGTGTAAATATGTGTGACTGACGTTTCACTCAACATGTTTTACAGGTTCATCCATATTGTAACATGTTTTGGGAGCTCATTTTTATTTATTACTGAGTAGTATTCTATTGTATCTATGTATGTACCATATTATACTTATCCATTCATACATTTTGCTACTGTGAATAGTGCTGCAACAAACACAGGTGTGCATATGCCTGTTCATGTCACTTCTATTAGATCTCTAGGGTCCACACTAGAGTGCAATTTCTGGGCCATATGGCAGCTCGACATTTAGTTTCTTGAGGAACTGCCAGACTGTTTTCACATGGCTGTACCATTTTGCGTTCCCACCAGCAATAGATGAGGGTTCCGATTTCTCCACATCCCCTCTTGTTATTTTCTATTTTTGTTGTTGTTGTTGTTGTTTAATTTTAGCCATCCTACTAGGAGTGAAATGGTATCCCATTGTGGTCTTGATTTGCATTTCTCTGATGGCTAATGATACTGCACATCTTTTCATGTGTCTGTTGGCCATATGAATATCCTCATTGTTGAAATGTCTGTTCATTTTCTTTGCCCAATTTTTCATTGGTTTATTTGTCTCTTTGTTGTTAAGTTGTAGAAGTTTTCTGTATATTTTACATATTAGGCCCTTATCGGTTATTTATTCCCAAAGATTTTTTCCTGGTCTGTAGGTTGTCTCTTTATTCTTTTGATAAAGTCTTTTGATGAACATAAGTACTTGATTTTATGAGGTCATAGTTATCTTATTTTGTATTCTGTTGCTGTGTTTGATAATCTATCATTTAAAAAATTAGGTTCCAAAGTTTTTGCCTATCTTTACATCCACGAACTTTAGATTTAACATTTGGTCCTTGATCCATTTTGAATTAGTTTTTGTGCAAGGCATGAAGTATAGATCTTCTTTCATTTTTTGGTATGTGGAATCCAGTTTTGCCAGCAGTATTTGTTGAAGAACTTACTGATGAGGACCAAAGACTACAGCCTTCAGTATGGATTACACCTCCACAGAAAGAAAAAAAAAATTCTCACAGTTGGACCAAAAAGCAACATCATGATAAATGGAGAAAAGATTGAAGTATCAAAGATTTCATTTTACTTGTATCCACAATCAATGCCCAAGGAAGCAGTAGTCAAGAAATCAAACAACACATTGCACTGGGCAAATCTGCTGCAAAAGACCTCTTGAAAGTGTTAAAGAATAAAAATGTCACTTTGAAGACTAAGATGCACCCAAGCCATTGTCTTTTTAATAGCCTCATATGCAGGTGAATTGGAAAATGAATAAGGAAGATTACAGAAGAGCTGATACATTTGAATTGTGGTGTTGGTGAAGAATACTCAATATACCATGAACTACCAGAAAAATGAACTAATTTGTCTCGGAAGTATAGTCAGAATGCTCCCTAGAAGCAAGAATGGCCAGACTTGTCTCTTGTACTTTGGTCATGCTATCAGGAGGGACCACTCCCCAGAGAAGGGTATCATGCTTGGTAAGGTAAAGGGTCAGAGAAAAGAGATCCTCAATGAGATGGATTGATACAGTGGCTGTACCAATGGGCTCAAGCATAACGGCTGTGAGGATTGTGCAGGACTGGGTTGCTGAGTCAACTCCAACTCGCCAGCACCTAACAACAACATTTGTGGAAGAGACTGTTTCTTCCTCCACTGCATAGATTTTGTTCCCTTGTCAAAAATCAACTGACCATAGATGTATTTCTGGGTTTTCAATTCTCTTCCATTGGTCTGTGTGTCTATCATTAATCAGTACCAGTCTATTTTGGTTGCTGTAGCTATGTAATATGTTTTGAAGTTATATGTATGAGGTCTCCTACTTTGTTGCTCTTCTTCAAAATTGCTTTAGTTAATTGGGGTCCTCTGTCTTCCCACATAAAACTAAGGATTAGTTTTTCCATTTCTGTAAGGAATGCTGTTGGAATTTTTATCATTGTGTTTTACCTATAATCCTACCTTTTGTTAGTATTGACATCTTGACTATATTAAGTTGTCCAATTCATGAGCACAGAATGTCTTTTCGTGTATTTAGGTCTTCTTTAGTATTTTTCAGCAGTGTTTTAAGTTAAGTCATTCACATCATTGGGTAAATTTATTCCTGGATATTTTATTCTCTTAGAAGTCTCTTAAGTGGAGCTATTTTCTTAATCTCTTCTCCAAATTTCTCATTGCTGGTGTATAGAAACTCAACTGATTTTTCTGTATTGACCTTCTATCCTGTAATTTTGCTAAATTCCTTTATTAGTCCTAGAAGCTTTTAATACATTCTTTGGGATTTTTCTATACACAGGATCAAAAGATGGAAGGACTATACAAAACCACTGTACCAAAAAGAACTGATCAACATTCAACTATTTCAAGAGGTAGCATAAGATCAAGAACCGATGGTATTGAAGGAAGAAGTCTAAGCTGCACTTAAGGAACTGGTGAAAAACAAAGCTCCAGGAATCGATGGAATACCCATTGAGACATTTCAACAAATGGGTTCAGTACTGGAGGTGCTAACTCAAAATCTGGCTAACCAACTTGAAGAGATCCCTATTTGTGCCCATTCCAGAGAAAGGTGACCCGACAGAATGTGAAAACTACTAAACAATATCATTAATATCACACACAAGTAAAATTTTGCTGAAAATAATTCAGAAAAGATTCTAGAAGTATATTGATAGGGAAATGCCAGAAATTCAATCTGGATTCAGAAAAGGATGTTGAATGAGGGATATCACTGCTGATGTCAGATGGATCTTGGCTGAAAGCAAAGAATATCAGAAAGATGCTCACCTGTGTTTTATTGACTATGCAAAGCCATTTGACTATGTGGATCATAACAAATTATACATAACATAGCAAAGAATGGGAATTCCAGAACATTTCATTGTGCTCATGAGGAATCTGTACATAGACCAAGAGGCAGTCATTCAAACAGAACAAGGAGATACTGCATGGTTTAAAATCAGGAAAGGTGTGTGCCAGGGTTATATTCTTTCACCACACTTATTCAATCTGTGTGGTGAGCAAATAATCCAAGGTGGACTATATGAAGAAGAACATGGCACTAGGATTATTTTACTTGGATCCACAATCAACACCTATGGAAGCAGCAATCAGGAGATCAAATGACATATTGCATTGGGAAAAACTGCTGCAAAAGACCTGTTTAAAGTGTTAAAAAGCAAAGATGTCCTTTTGAAGACTAAGGTGTGTATGACTTGAGCCATAATATTTTCAATCACCTTATATACATGGGAAAGCTGGACAATGAATAAGAAAGATAGAAGAATTGATGCACTTAAATTGTAGTGTTGGTGAAGAATATAAAAAATACTATAGACTGCTAGAGAATGAACAAACTTATCTCAGAAGAGGTACAGCCAAACACGCCTTAGAGGTAAGAATGGCCAGATTTTGTCTCACCTACTTTGGTCATGTTGGAAGGGACCATCCCCTGCAGAAGGATATCATGCTTGGTAAAGTAGAGGGTCAGGGAAAAGGGGAAGCCCCTCAATGAGATGGACTTACACAGTGGGTTCAATGATGGGCTCAAACACAGCAATGATTATGAGGATGGCACAGGACTGAGCAGTTTCATTCTGTTGTGCATGGGGTTGCTGTAAGTCAGAACTACCTCGATGGCACCTAACAACAACAACTACAATAGAATCATACTTTCTGCAAACAGAGGCTGTTTTACCTCTTCTTTTCCAATTTGGATACCTTTTTGGTCAGGACTTCCAGTACAATATTAAACAGGAATGGTGAGTATCTTGGTTCCCTAGTGCTGTTATAACAGAAATACCACAAATGGATGGCTTTAACAAATAGGAGTTTATTCTCTTACATTTCAGGAGGCTGGCAATCCAAATCCAGAGTGCCAGCTCTAAGGTCCTCTGGGCCCTAGACCTTGGGCCTCAGCTCTGCCTCCTGTTCCAGGCCCACTGGAGCTGGAGGTGTCTCCTAACTCAGACAGCTGTGGGCTGCTAAGGCTGATGAACCCCAGGTTGGCAGATAATATGGCATGATCCCAAGATTGGCAGGCAGCATGGCAGACCACTGGTTCAAGTCCAGAAACTGGAGATAAAGACTCAGCCAAATGCAGGATCCAGATGTGCCAAAAAGCTAGAGATCTTCCTCAAAGCTTCTCCATATATACTGGAAGCAGACCACATCCCAAAGGTAATTCCCCATCAACTACTTAACTACTCACAGTAGATTCCACCATGGAGGTGATCACAGTCTCATCATGGGGAATAACTACATCCAGCTACCAAGGCACTCAGAACCAAAGCCTAGCCAAGGTGACACAGAACCTTAACTACCACAGTGAGATTGAGTATCCTTGTCTTGTTCCTATTTTCAAGGGGAAAGTTCTTGATCTCTCTCCATACAGTATAATGTTGGCTGATGGGTTTTTAAAAATTGTTCTTAATCTTGTTGAGGAGCTCCTCTTTTATTCCTATCTTAAGAATTTTTATCAAGAAAAAGTGCTGGATTTTATCAGATGCTTTTTCTGCATTGATATGAGATGGTGGTTCTTTTCCTTTCTTATATTGATGTAGTGTATTACATTGTCTGATTTTCTAATGTTGAATCAACCCTGCATTGCTGGAATAAATCCCAGTTGATCATGACGTATAATTCTTTTCACACGCAGTTGGATTCTCTTTGCTAGTATTTTGTTGAGAATTTCGGCACTTAAATTTTAAGGAGTATTGGTCTATAGTTTTCTTTTCTTCTGGTGTCTTTGTCTAGCTTTGGTACCAGGGTAATGCTGGCTTCATAGAGTTAGGGAGTATTCCTTCTTCCTCTGCTTTTTGGAACAGTTTAAACAGGATTGGTATCAGTTCTTCTCTAAATGTTTGACAGAATTCGCAGTGAACCCGTCTGGTCCTGGACCTTTCTTTCTTAGGAGGTTTTTATTATTATTATTATTATTATTATTGATTCAATCTCTTTGCTTGTTGTGGGTCTGCTGAGGCTTTCTACTTTCTTTTGAGTCAGTCTAGGTAGGTTATGTGGTTAACTTATGTTAATTTACGTGAGGTTTTTGCTTCACTTCCTGCTCACTCCTCTTTTCAAAATCATCTGCTCTTTTTCCTGATACACTGGGTCCACCCAGCCACCTCACCCTGTTCCATAGAAAAGTGCTCTTTCTTCTTGTTTCCACAAAGAGCCTCATACCTATAATAGTCACTGGAGCTCTGGTAGCACAATGCCTAAGCCATGTGACTGCTAACCAGAAGGCTGGTGGTTCAAACCCACCAACCACTCTGTGGGAGGAAGACTGGGCAATCTACTTCCATAAAGATTTACTGCCTTGGAAACCCAATAGAGGTCACTATGAGTCACTATGTGGTAATGGCTATATAACCAAACCAAATCCACTGCCATAGAGTTGATTCTGATTCATAGTGACCCCCACTGGGTTTCTGAGACAGTAAATCTTTATGGAAGTAGATTGACCAGTCTTGCTTCCCAGAGTGGCTGGTGGGTTTCAACCACCAACCTTCTGGTTAGCAGCCCAATGCCTTAGCCACTGTGCCACCAGAGCTCCTTATTGCACACTTACAGCATACCTTAATTCAGACTAGCCATGTTTTAAGGACTCAGCAGGTATCTATGGCTAGCATGCACTGTATTAGATACCAACATGGAGGATTTGTTAAACACAGATTGCAGGGCTCAACCCAGAATTTCTGATTCAGCAGGTCTGGGGTGGGGCCTGAGAATGCTTTTTTCTACAATGTTCCCAGGTGGCATCAATGTAGCTGGTCTGAGGACTACACTATGAAAACTACTGTGTCAAGTTAGACCTGAGTCCAGTTGCCTAATGGTGCCTCCAATCCAGACAGGCAACACAGGTCTCCCATCTACCACCCCGTGGGAAGTGGGGAAAAACAAACAGTATCCTGAGAAACTCTGGCTCTAAAAACCAGCAAGTCAAATAATACAAACTCTGGCACATAAACTTCAGGGGCATTTAGAGAAAGGGAATAAGCAAGCACTGTACCAGACAATACTCTGTTGTGAGTCATGGGATTTAAAAAAAATCCCTTTGAAATAAAATCTTTGACTCAATTTTCTAGTCACAACTTGCCATCATATCTGCAGCCAGAAATTAGGCTTCACCAATAGCTAGTCAGCTGAAGTGGAGGTTACCCTTTGAAGGCCAAACTATCTTCTGCTTTGAATTTCTTGTTGAAATCATGTGTTTTGAATAATAGAAAGCATTTTGAATGAAATAAAAAAGATTTTTTTTTTTAAAAAATGTAATATGGATTTTGATATAATTAGAGGACACATATGTCCCCAGGGGGTTCTGGTGCTGGGGTTGGTGGGATAAGGCCCATTTCTTCAAATTCACACAGTTATACAGGCCCCCATCAGATGGCAGTATGCACTAAAAGTGGGCTAGAAGCTTCCCATTAAACCCCAGAGGAGCAAAATGTAGGTAGGCACTATATGTCCCACGGGGCACAAAAGGGTTAAAAGTCTTAAAAATCCATTGCTATCAAGTTGATTCCAACCCATAGCAACCCTATAGGATGGAGCAGAACTATCCCATAGGATTTCCAAGACTGTACTTATCTTTCTCCTCCAGAGAGACTTGGTGGGTTCAAACTGCCAACCATTCAGTTAGCATTCAAGCACTTTAACCACTGTGCCACCAGGGCTCCTTTTAAGGTCTTAAGTCACCCTAACCCACAAGGAAAAAAACCTGATATGAGGCCAATCATATCATTCCAGGGTCTTACAGTGCTTGTGGTGCAGTGGTTAAAGTGCTCACCTGCAAACCAAAAGATCAGTCCCAACTCACCAGGTACTCCACAGGAGGAAGATGTGGCAGACTGCTTCCATAAAGATGACAGCCTTGGAAACCCTATGGGGCAGTTCTACTTTGTGCTTATGGGGTCACTATGAATTGGGATCAACTTGACAGCAATGGGTTTGGGTTATAGATACTCTGAGCAAAAATGAAACCTCCGCAAATGAAGGGAAGAGCCTTACTTTTCAACAAATTTGCCAAATCCAAATTCCAGCATATTTTGGAGGCAAGTCGTTTCATTGGGCTTTATTTCATAGCCAACAATTTCACTGATCTGTAAAGAAAAAAAAGAGGAAAACAAGTGTTTACTGTTCCAAGTTGTCCAAAAGAACTTTTCACGTTGAAAGAAACATACACAATACAGCAGTCGCTGTGGCTAGTTTGACCGAGGACATAACTAAAAAAATTATTTTTAATTAATTTAAAGTTAAATAGTCACATGTCACTGTTTTGTGTCACTGTGTCAGAGCAATGCAATAGGGCAGAGCAGAACTGCCCCATATCTTTATGGGACCAGATCACCAGGTCTTTTCTCTCTAGGAGTTGCTGTTGGGATTCAACTGTCAACCTTCTGGTTAAGAGCTGAGGGCTTAACCACTGCACCACTAGCGCTCCTTCTCATGTCACTACCCATTGATGTTGCAGTCGATTCCAACTCAGTGTCCCTAGAGGACAGAATATAACTGCCCTGTAGGGTTTCCAAGGCTGTCAGTCTTTATGGAAGCAAAGCCCAAACCAAACCCACTGTGGTCGAGTTGATTACAACTCACAGCATCCCTAGAGGACAGAGTAGAACTGCCCCACTGGGTTTCCAAGACTGTAATCTTTACGGCTCTGGTAGGATAGTTTCTAAGGCACTTGACTGCTAACCAGAAGGCTGGCGGTTCAAAGCCACCAGCCACTCCTCGGAAGGAAGGTTGGGCAATCCTACTTTTGTAGTGATACTGCCTCGGAAACCCAAGGAGGGGTCGCTATGAGTCGGGCTGACTCGACAGCACATAACAACAACAACAACAACAATCTTTACGGAAGCCGACTGCCACATCTTTCTCCCATGGAGTGGCTGGTGGGTTGGAACCTCTGACCTTCTGGTTAGCAGCTGAGTGCTTAATCATTGCACTGCCAAGATTGCTACTCACATGTCACTAAACCAAAAAAAAAAAAAAAAAACCCCTCTGCCATTGAGGGTTTCCAAGGTTAGAAAATATCTACAGAAATAGATTGCCTCATCTTCCTCCTGCAGAGAAGCTGGCAGGTCTGAACTACCAACCTTCTGGTTAGCAGCCAAATGCCTTACCCCCTGCACCACCAGAGCACATGTCACTAGTGGTACTAAATTGGACGTGCAATCTAAGGAATCAGGAGGAAGCCTGGAGCCCACTCTGCATTCTATCTGGTTTACTGAAGGATGGTCTCTCAATCAGACTGTGAGCACCTGGAAGCCACGACCAGGTCTCATTGGTTTTTGTGCTTCAGTGCACAGTGCAAAGCCCAGCCCATGAGAGCAGATAATTAAGTGTTTGCTGAATAAAAGAAGGGAGTCAAGACTATGTGAGACAACATGGAAACAATTAGTCCAAGGAACTGGTACACCATGACATCCTCAGCCTATACGACTATGAGACCAAAGGAACTAGATGGTGCCCAGCTACCACTGTCAACCATTCAGAGGGGGATCTATGTAGGAGATCCTTGATAGAGAGGGAAAACAATGTGGAACAAAACTCAGAATCATTTGGGGGAAAAAAAAAAAAAGAGGGACAAGCGTTGTTGGTCTGATAGAGCCTGGTGGAACCCCTGAGACTATGGCCCCTAGCTGGCCTTCAGGTCTGAAATTGAACCTACCTCTATGGCTTCCAGCCAAACAAAAGACAGGCGTATGAGATGAACTCCTTGGAGACATCAATCATGGGAGACTAGAAGGGCTGTGTATGCACAGGGAGACAGCTCAGGGAGCAGGAGTGCATGGGAGGGCAGGGCACAGGAAGGACGTGGCTCTGGGGAGGAAGTGGGAGGAGAGCTGTTGCACTGTGGGAGATTGCAGTCAATAACATGAAACAGTGTGTGCAAACTGCTGCATGGAGGATGAATTTGCTCTGTAAATTTTCACCCAGATCACAATAAAATAAAAAAAAAATAAAAATAAAAAAGGAGCATATGTGACAGGCAGACTCCCAAATTATGTGATCTGAGGATGCTAAGGAGGGAGGAATGGCCCTCCTTTTCAAAATACCTCCCCCTCTACCCCTTTGGGCTAACTTACTGGAAATCTCTGATTCCTCTGGTTTAACTATTACTCCAGGCTTATCTTTTAAGTGCACATATCCCCAAGCAAGGTCTCAAGTGAAGACTCTGACAGCTTCAGAAAACTTCTCAGAGGCTGAGAGACCTGGGTGTCATGAGGGTTACATGTGCTGAAGACGAGACCAGGGCACTGGAAGGGGAAGGAGGTGTCATGAAAAACCTGGCCTACTGCTCAATTCTGTCTCTGTCCAGCCCCAGAACAGTTAGAGAATGTCAAAGCAGGAAGGGATGTGAGAGCTGTGTCATGTTCTGTCTTATTAACCCTGTGTGCCCACAGCTTGGCATTTAGTAAGGCATCAGTATTTGTGGAGTGAAGGCATGAATGAACCAGCTAGTTCAATTGGCTTCCATCTGGGGCCTGGGAGGTCCACAAGAATAACAGAAATAATAAGAGTAATTAGCACTATGGAGGGCTGCCAAGGATGTGAGGCTCTGGGTGGCCCAAAGGGTTAAATGCCAACCCACTAACTGAAAGGCTGGCAGCTGGAGCCCACCCAGTGGTGCTGTGAAAGAAAGGCCTGGTGATCTATTTGGATAAAGATTACAGCCCAGAGAAGCCTATGGAGTAGTTCTAGTCTGTAGCCTCATTGGTAATGCATTTCCTTTGGTACTGTGTAGTAGGCACTGTTTGTTGTAAGAGCACTGTGTACTTAGTTCACTCTCATAACACTATGGGAAAAAAAAAAAAAAAAACCTCGCTGTCCTTGAGTCAGATCCGACTCTTAGTAACCATTCCTTGGGTTCCCAAGGCAGTATCACTACAGAAGTAGTTGCCCAACCTTCCCACTGAGGAGTGGCTGGGAGGTTTGAACCACCAGCATTCTGGTTAGCAGTCAAATGCCTTAAGCACTATGCCACGAGAGCTCCTATGAGGTAAGTACTAATGTATTATTTTCTCCTGTCCTACAGATAAGGAAATTGAGACAAAGAAATTAAGTATCTTGTCCAAAATTACCCAACTAATAAATGGCAGAATCAGGACTTGGACCCAATTCTCTCTGACACTAAAGTTTTTCCTATCCAGTTTATTCTAGTATCTCTCACAAGTTTTCCATGTATGCTTGTGCAGGTTATCCACTGCACAATTCTAGAAAGCAGCAGTCACACTGTAGTCCACAAAAAGTGTTCCCTTGAGTGGTGCATGGCACAATCTGCACAACTATTCCAGAAGCCCTGGGTTCCCTCATTTATTCTCCAGTACCTGAAAGTGTGGCTAAGGACAACACAGTAATTATCTCCAGGGTTAAATAGCACACCCATGTAAAGCATTTACAATAGTACTTGGCCCATAGTAAGGACTCAAAGATTTGTAGTTGTATTTTTAAAGTTATTTTTGTTAACTATAGAGATTAACAACACAGCTGGCTCTCTAACTTTAACAGCCTACAGCTATCAGGACCTAGAGTTGTGGTGTTGGCGAAGAATACTGAAAATGCCAATGACTGTCAGAAAAACAAACAAATCTGTCCTGGAAGAAGTGCAGCCAGAATGCTCCTTGGAAGTAAGAATGGCTAGATTTAGTCTCACTTACTTTGGGCATGTTGTCAGTAGGGACCATTCCCTGGAAAGGGATCTCATGATCGGTAAAATGGAGGGTCAGCGAAAAAGGGGAAGGCCCTCATAGATGGACTGACACAGTGGCTGCAACAATGGGCTCAGGTACAGCAAGGACTGTGAGGCTGACGTGGGACTGGGCAGTGTTTTGTTCTGTTGTACACAGGGTCCTATGAGTAGGAGCTGACTCGATGACACCTAACAACAACATAGCTACAATGTCCAGTAGGTAGCCACTAGCTGGTGCTAATGAAGCGTGGCTAGTCCACATGCTATGTTAAGTAAAAACACACCACATTTCCAAGACAGTGTGCAAAACGTAATGTAAAGTATCATTAATAGGTTTATATTGATTATATATTGAAATGATTAGTATTTTAGATATACTATATTTGGTTAAATAAAATCTATTAATAAAGTTATTTTTTCCTGTTTCTTTTAGCTTTCTAAACATGGCTACTGGGAACTTTAAAATCATATATGTGTTTTGCATTGTGTTTCTGTTGGACAGTGCTGTCCTAGAAAGCAAGCTCTGGTACTTAGTAGTGCAGTTTCTCCCTAAGGGAAAAGATTACCTTGTTTCATCCTGCTTTAAACCACAGTAGCAACCCCATTGCCAATATCAGTAAAGTCTTTTCCCCTATGTTTGGGGAGCAGACAGGGGAACAGACTACTGATATTGTTCACCTTTCCTGCCATTCTGGGGAATGGCCAAGAACCTCAGAACAGCCTCCCTATTACCCTGGAAGGACCAACTTCCAGCCTTGAGAGTTTCAGACAGTTTAGCCTCAGAAGCCCTGCTAGAACCAGTGCCTGGGCAAATGGGTCTCCTGAGTTAGGCATTAGGACTTCCCCATATTTCAGCCTGGGAGACCTGGTGCTGTCCCTGGGGTGGTCTGTGGTGTGACCTACACTGTTAGCAGGAATGTGCTCTGAGAGAGGGAAAACCTGAGTGTTTCAGATGGCCTCTGTCCTTTCATCCCCTCTGCCCACCTCCTAGGGGGTGCAAATGGTAAAGCACATGACTATGGCCAGAAGGCTGGTAGCTCAAATCCACCTGGAAGACAGGCCTGGCCGAGTGCTTCTGAAAGATCACAGCCTGAAAGCCCAATGGAACACAGTTCTACTCTGACACACATGGGGCCGTCGTGAGTCAGAATCGACTGCACAGCAGCTAACAGCAACAACCATCCTACTCCCTACTTTCTCACCCCTGGCTAACGGGTCAGTCCACTGGGCTTCCTCTTCACAGGCTTGTTGCTCAGGATCCACCCTCCTGGGGCTCCACTCCCCACCTAGAGTTTACTGCTCCAGACAGGCTGCTCCTCCCTCCCACCTGACATTTCTCACCCCCTTTCCATCCTTCCAGACAGAATCAA